GCCCCGGACGGGCGCTGCCGGCCCCGGACGGGCGCTGCCGGTCCGGACGGGCTCTGCCGGTCCCGGACGGGCGCTGCCGGCCCCGACGGCGGCGCGGTAGCCACGGCAACCGGGCCGGGCGCCCGGGGAGCAGGAGCGTGCGCACTGGGGACCGGGCCAGGCTGGGCCGGGCGGACTGAAAACACCGGGTCGAGAAGGGTCAGGAAGAGCGGAAAGGGAAGCGGTGCGGAAGGACGAGCAGCTCCCTCCAGGAACCTGTGCTGGCTCACCCGCAGTGCCGTGCCCACGCTGTGACCCTGCCCATAGCGGCACTCATGTATGAAAACACCGTTTTTCCTTATAGCCTTCTGCTGTAGATAAAAGCAGAAGTTGTACTAAATCCCCAGAACTCTTGGATATCGAGACGGGGTGTTGTGGGTGAGTGGTGGCAGCCTTCGTGCCACACACCGTCACTTCGGAGCTGTGTGCCAGTGCCTACCTGTGACATGGGTTGTGCTGTTCTCCCTGGAGGGTCCGTGGTGTGAGCACTGAGAGTGTTAACTGGAAATTAAAGACATGCAAATCAGAATGAAAACCATAAGAAATTGGATTTCCTGGTGTTTGAGGTGCCATTTCTGACACAACTCCTGCAAATGTTTTCAGCATGCTACAAGAAAACTGAGTGGACAGTCACATCACACAACTTTCAGACGTGAAATATTGTTCTGTCTTGCAATTCCAGGAGAATCCTGAAAAAAAAGCATTTCAATTATTGAATTCAAATGGATACCAAATAATTGTATGCCATGATTGTTACCATATTTCCCAGACATTGTTATACATTGTTTGGCACTTGAACGTGGGCCTCCTTTCCCACCAAAAGAACAGAAATCTCCCATTACCACTGCTAATGTTTTTTCTAAAACCTTGTTTGAACTCCTGGATTAGGATCACCATTAATCCTATAGAAAGATATTGTCATTTGTGCCACTTTCTCACTGTTACATAGTTGATTAAACATTCAAGTTCATTTTTGAGTTGCAATGACTTTTCATTTTTTTCCTAATGAAATAGCATATAAGCTTTGAATATTAAAATAGTTATAAAAATGAGCTTTCACTCGTCTCCTATTGGTTTTGGTTTCAGGTTCAGAACACAGCCACTTGGGATAGCTTAAGCAGCACTGATGGCAGGTTAGGAATGGCAAAACCTCAGTACTTGCTCTGCTCTCATGATGGGAAAGTTCTTTTCCAGTTGTAACAGGCTCTGTCTCTGCTAGGCCACATCCTTGCAGATAAGCTGCTTTTTTATTCACATGACTTCAATCAGATGATCTAAAAGTGTTTTAAAGATCTAAAGTTTGTTAACTAAAGCTTGCAGTGATTTACCTTACCATATTACAACAGATTATAAAATTATTTGCACCATCATGTATTTCCAACAATTAGAAGAGAAAAATCAAGCAAAAACATTAGCCTTCAAATTATACCTTGCTATCATATTCCTCTTGGAATAAATTAGGACCTGTATGGAGGACACAGATGTACATTTGTGAAAGGAAGAGGAGTGTATGCTTTTATCTTTGAAACTGAGTTTTAAAAGGCCATATATCAAATTTCAGTAGAAGTGGGCCATGAAAAAAACTTCCTCTCCCCTGGAGCACAATGATTGAGTTTATAAGAGAGCTGTTTTAAATCACATGACAAATACATCTTTAGAAGTAGAGAAAATTGAACAAGATGTCTCAGTTAAGGAAGAGTAGAATGAATTCCAATAGTTGCTACCATATTCTGGCAACTTTCCTTGCCCTCCACCTCCAATATTTCATGCCACTGTAATTTATACTAGACTTTGTTGTGGTTTTTTTTTCTTTCTTTTAATTTATTTTATTTTGATTCCTCTCATGTCAGCTTAATACTTACTACTGAAATCCATTAATTTTAATTTTTCATGTGACAGTGTTGGTGCTCATTCAAGTCTGTAATCCCTTAATATTTCTCATGTGAAAATTGTGTTTATTAACTTTAGCAAAGTCCTCTTCTGGAATGCCATCTAGTGGTTTTACTTAGGAAAAGACCAGTTTCTACCTTGGTCAAGACTGAAAAATCCTTCAAAACCAAACAATGGAACTAAATATTTCTCACTTTTTAAGTTTACAAAATCTAAATATTTCTGTAATTATAATAATAGTTGGAGGGGGAAAACGCAATGCTAAAGTATGCAGTGAAAATCGTTTCTGGAGTGAATACCTTGGGAATACTGGTTTTCTCTTCTATTGACCTACCACCCAATACCACTGCATAAAACATTATATAAATTCGTAATTAATTATTTATAATAATGATGTCACAAGTAAATTTATAAGCCTAAAAACTATGAAAAAACAGCTATGACCAAATATGCTGTGTAATGTAAGCAGTGCATATACAAATTCTTATTAAACTGCAGATTTTTGTGATACAGCTATATTCCTGTCTTTAAACTTGCAGGAATGTTACTAATGGTCTTTAAAAAAACATCAGTAAAAGGAAACCTGTAGTTTGGATATTTTAATTGGGATTTATAAGATTAAATCTCTAAACAAAAGCTTTCAAAAGAATCACAGAATATTCTGAGCTGGAACAGACCTGGAAGGGACCATCAAATCCAACTCTTAAATGAACGGCCCATCCAGGGACTGAACCCACACCCTGGTATAATTAGCCCCTGCTTTAACCAACTGAGCTAATCACAGTGCTCAACCACCCTGTGGTTGAAAACTATTTCCTAACAGCAAACCTAGACCCCTTGTGATACAGCTTCATGCTGTTCCCTTGGGTCCTGTCACTGGTCACAAGACATGAGCCCCTGCTCTTCCACTTCCCCTTGTGAGAATGTTGAAGACCACAATGAGGTGTCCCCTCAGTCTCCCCTGCTCCAGACTGAACAGGCCACAGCCTGTCTGCTGACCTCAGCCGCTCCTCATATGGCTGCCCCTCAAGGCCCTTCACCAGCTTCCTTACCCTCCTTTGGACACTATCTAAAAGTTCTTTATCTATCTGAAAGGATCTTTTAGTTCTTTTACTAACTAAAAGTATCTTTATCTTTTTTGTGGTGCCCAAAGTAGCCCCTAGCACTTGAGGTGAGGCTGCCCCAGAGTGGGACAATCCCCTCCCTTGCCCGGCTGGCAATGCTGTCTGATGCACCCCAGGACAGCTCCTGGCTGCCACGGCACTGCTGGCTCATATTTAACTTGCCATCCACCAGGACTCCCAGGTCTCTTTCTGCAGCACTGCTTTCCAGTATCCCATTCCTCGGCCTGTCGCTACATCCAGGGTAGCCCCATCCCATGCAGAATCCAGCACTTGTGTCTCTTGAACTTCAGATGGTGATGGCTCATCTCTGTAATCTGTTGAGGTCTCTCTGCAAAGCCTCTCTGCCTTTGAGGGAGCCAACAGCTCCTCCCACAGTAGTGTCATCAGCAGATTTCCTCAGTATCCCTTCCGGTCCTGCATCTAAGTCATTAATGAAGATACTGAAGAGCACTGGGCCTAAGATGGAGCCCTGTGGGACCCAGCTGGTGACCGGTAGCCAGCCTGATGTCACCCCATTTACTGCAACACTTAACACTTGAGATGTGAATCAACAATACACTAATACAAGTCTACACAATTCTCTAAGATCCCAATACTAAGGTTTGTGCCACAGGTGTTATGCCAAGTATGGTAACCTACCTGTTAACAAGAAACCTGCTGCCATAAATTTGAGTAGCAGTCTTCTTTCTTCCCATCTTGTCTCCCATCTTCCCAGTACCTCCCACAAGCCAGAGATAGTGTTTAGTTATGTGGGCAGTAGGGTCAGCCAGTGCAGGACAGGCATTCAGCTGAAACCTAAAATCCTGTTCTTTTTGGGAAACATTAGATCCCTCACTGCAGTATCTGCATGGCCATTAAGACCCTGTCAGGGGTAGCAAAAATACATAGCCAAAGGTGGGACAAAATCATCATGCTTTTCTGAAACTTGGATTTTGATTTCAAGTGCCCTATAATGTCTGTATTTTTAACATACAAACACATATTATAAAAATAACTCAGCATAAGGCAAATACCCTGTTAATATAACATGCAAAAAATTAAATAAACAAAAGGTTGTAGAAATGCCAGAAAGAATTTTCTTAAAACCATTTTTTGCAAGAAATTGGCAGCAGCCTTTAGATTGCTAAATGTAAGTGGACAAAATGTATTTTAATGAAGTGATTATCTTTAATTTAAAGACAACTGACAGTAACAATAGATTAATAATTATTTTTTTCTTTTTACTTTCAAGAGGTTACACCATTTTGAAAATCATATTGGCCATCTCCACTGATTAGAAGGAGGTTCTTCAACTAGAGGCTCCCATGGTTTCCACTGTATCATTTTTCTTGCCAATGACAGCTCGTTTTCAGCCTGTTAATAAACACCATACACAAAGTCTTAAATTTTATACAATTGCCAAAATATTGTATTACCTCTATGTCAATTAATTACCTCAGTGATGTCACTACCTATCATGGTCACAGACTACCAGAAATTTCACCTATAAATATCAAAGGAACTGTATGCTTTGGGAGTTGTTCTTTTAAAAAAAAATCCCATCACCCCTAAATACCCAAATAGAAATTCTGTTCAGAGAGACATTGACAATGACAATTTCATTATATTTTCCACTTGGTTTGGATTATCCCCAATATTATTCAATCTTCTTCTGTCCTTTTCACTAATTTAGACTCTATAAGAAGCAATGAAGGTATACATACTTATCTGTAAGCATAATGCAAGAAACAGTTGTTAATTTGTTATGTTTTAGTAAGGTCATCTCACCACTACATGACAATTTGTTTTCAGGGGTTTTTCTTCTGTTTGACTGTTTTGCAAGAAACAGTTGTTAATTTGTTATGTTTTAGTAAGGTCATCCCACCACTACATGACAATTTGTTTTCAGGGGTTTTTCTTCTGTTTGACTGTTTTGCAGCAAAGGAAGATACACAAAACTTCCAATTTTCTGAACAAAAACTCAGCCCAAGGAGCACTAAAAAAACACTGCTACATTTGTACTTCCTCTCAAATTTTCCCTCTTTACCTGTACAATGACTTCTTCTATCTGACCACTATTCAGTTTGTCCTGTAGTTTTTGCACATCAGATTCCTGTGTGTTCAAATACATACAATAGAATGTTTTAGTGAGAGTAAAAAGCCCATGAAAATAATGAAAACAGCAATTTAAACAGATCACACTCCAGTCTTTCTCAGAATTAGCTGGCTTAGGTCATTTTACATTTTCAAAGAAATCTCACACTCATTTGTTACTGAGAAGCAAATATCAAATACTCAATGATAAATACAAAGAATGAATGCTAATCCAAAAAGGTATTAGCAGATAAACCTTTAGTTTTTATCTTAGAAAAAAAATCTTATTCTTAGATTTTTATAGTATAATATGCAAGCTTTCAATTATCACCTTAAATACACAATAACGGTATTGCAGAGTTTAATGTAACAAAAAGTGGTCTTAAATATTGAAAGCAAGGATTGTGCTAAGATACACTGGCAAGAGTACATACATTTTTTGTGAATGTGTGTGAAATTACCAGTTTTCGAGGAATCTTAAAAAAAAAAACAAACCTATGTTTGCTTCTAATTTTCACAAAACAGCAGCAGGAAATTAACAATTTTTTTTCATATGCCATCAAAATATCCCAGTCAATAACAAAAAATAAATCATGATACTTCAATTGTTTCTGAAAGTTACATGTGCCCCTAAGAATGAGCCGGGCACTCCAAAAATCACTTTTCACATCTTACGAATTTTTTTTTATGTGCAGCATTACTGAAATAGCACCGTGCTTACCTTTTTCACCAAATCAAATCGCTCATTTACAATCTGCTCGGTGTATTTCCTGTAAGCTGCATCTTTGGGAATGTTTTCCAGGACACCAAGGATTTTTGTGTACAGTATTCGCAGGCGCTGAAGTGATCACAAGACATAGTTAAAATACACAACTGCAAATATTTATCTTCTTGTCCTACCAAACTTACTAAGCTATTATCTATACACAAAATATGGTATTCAATCCAGAAGCATAAGATTAACTAATAGTTAAGTCTGAGACACTGAACTCCATCTTGGGTACAGCAGGGACTGTCACATTCCTCAAAGGAAAATAAAAAAACAAAGAAAAAATAAAGACAGTTGCAATCTGAACACACTTGATGCAAAATGAAAAAAAAAAAAAAAAAAAAAAAAGAAAAAAAAAAGTCTTAAAAAAAAAAAAAAAGAAGGGAAAAAAAAAAGAGGCAAATTCATGTCTAACCCATCAGATACTGAAAAGTTACCTGAGGAAGTTACAAAGAGATTATAATTGAGGGTTTTTTTCACTTTTCCTCATGCTGGTGCAAAGTTCTGAGTACCAGACAGATTTAAATTAAACCTGAAACTTTTATTGCTGGATTGAAGTGCAGGGATTAAGAACACATTGTGGTGAATAAATTCACACATTTGTACTGGGTAATTGTATCTACCTGACAAGGAATGGATGTCCTATAGGAACAATAAGAAATAGAAGCAGAATACTAAAATTACAAGGAAGAAAAAACAGGAAACAAAATAAAGATTGGCGAAGAATCTGAACTTCAACTAAACTGTTGTCCAGTACTTTACTCTTAGCTTTAAGTTGCTGAAAAGACTAAAGTGTACTAAGTTGATCCAGAAGGTGTCTGACAAGGCTGCAGACTGAGCTAGAATAGTTTCTACCAAACAGCAGTGATTTTTTCAAGGGTTCTTTTTTTCAGCATTCTTAAGTACTGGAGTCAAAAGCATTTTTGAAATACAATTGCTGTATAATAAGAAATTGCAAAGTGGAGAACTTAAAAAAATCACTGAAGTTCTTTCAAAGCTAATGCCTCCTGAATAAGCATGATGTGACAAACACACTACTGAGCCTGAGGAGGTAAAAAGAAAGCCATATATTGCTATGAGAACCACCTCATGCAGTTCCCAAGTACCACTGGAGTATTCCAATCTCAGCACTGCTTGCCATTCCAGGGCCTCGGTGTGGCTTTGCACATGGCTAGTCTCTATCATCTCTGACTAGGCTATCCCTTTAGTATAAGTTATTTCAATATATGAGTACACAGCAAAGCAGCAAAAACCTGAGAAGCAGGAATTATATTTATGAAGAACTGAATTTAAAGAGTTCTTTGTTTTGACATTACTAATGAAAGAAATCAAATATTGGTTCATAAAGATACTTACACTAGAGAGGTTTTTGAAATCAGTGCATGCCACAAAAAGTACATAAAATAACTTACAATGACACACATTAAATCTTTATCACAGTGGACAATTTTAATTATTTCATTCAGCTGGCACCAGATTAAGATATACTGCATACCTACACATACAAACACATCACAAAAATCTTAGAGCTCACTGAGAGTTTCCATTATTACAGAACCAGATGTGTTACGTACCTCATGAGGGTTCTCGGCTACAGCCAGTCCCACAAGTCCAGTGGTCTGCAAACAGAGCATAAATATACTTAATACACCTAAGCATCCATTTCCACACTAATTATTTTGACTCAATATACATCTGACAGTGACCATTCCATGACACCAGCCCTACCTCCTGCCATATGCCCATTATCCCAGAGTTCCAGTGCTCCAAGAGGGAAGCAGCTCACCTTACCAGAATCAGGATCATAAAATATAACTCACAAGGATCATCCACTCCAGCTCCTGCCCTGCACAGCACCATCCCCAAGTGTAACACCCTGTGTCTGAGAGCACTGTCCAAATGCTTCTTGAATTCTGTCAGGCTGGTGCTGTGACCACTTCCCTGGGGAGCTGATCCAGTGACCAAACACCCTCTGCGTGAACCACCTTTTTCTAAGATCCAACCTAAACCTCCCTGACAGAACTTCAGGCCATTCCCTCGGGCTCTGTCACTGGTCGCCAGCGAGATCAGAGCCTGCCCCTCTTCTCCTCATGAGACAGCTGTAACTGCAATGAGGACTCCCCTCAGCCTCCTCTTCTCCCAGCTGAACAGACCAACGACCTCAGCTGCTGCTCACAGGGCTACCCCTACAATCCCTTTAACATCTCCGTTACTCTCCTTTGGATGCTCGCTAATAGCTTAGTATTTTCCTCACATGCAGCGATCAAAACACTCAAGGTGAGGCCGCCTCCGCGCAGCACAGAGCGGCACAGTCTCCTCCTCCTCCGGCCGGCCGGCATGCTGTGCCCGCTGCGCACCGGGCAGCTCGCAGCCGCCCCCGGCTGCCGGGGAGAGCACCCAGGCCCTGCGCTGCCCTTGGCCTTTCCCTGGCAGGGTGGCCGCTCGCTCTCACCCCACGGCTCCGGCTCTCCCTGCCCTCCCCAGACAGGTGGGCCCGGCGCAGGACGCGGCTCGCGGCCCTCGGCGGCGCCTCACCTTCCTCAGCGCGCCCGCCATGGCCGCGCTCGCGGCGCCCGCAGAGGACGCACGGAGGGCGCCGGGCCGCGCATGCGCCGCAGCGGCGCGGGCCGGCGGGGCGGCAGCAGTGCGCGTGCGCCGGGGCCGCGGCCGTGGGGGCCGCCCGGGGCCGCTCGTGGGATGGCTTCGGAAAACAAAAAGCGCCCTAAAACAGAGCTAGGCGGAAATTAGGGAACTTTATTCAGGACCTTGAGATAGAGACAATGGGACAAAAGAGCTGTGAAAAGACAGTTTAAATTATTGGTAAGAGATTAACATGATGTTCATTTGAAGATCCGCTTGTCCCTCTGTTAGGTGTTATGCTTAGTTGCTAACTTAAGGGGTGAGTTTTGCGTAGTAATACTTAATAATAATTATGTTGTATGTTTGTATCTTATTCTGGACAACTCGTTCTTTATAATTCCTTTGTCCTGCTCTTGAGCTCCTCTTTTTCATAACTGATCAGCAAACTCCACCGCCTTTCAGATTATCTTTGATTTCTCCTTGGAAGCTGTCCTTTGATAAAGCAAGCACTTCCTCCAATCTGCAACTAAAGCAAAGTGGCTAATGCAGTTTATATCAGTGTTCAGGTTTGTGTTTCCCCACGCCTGGGTTCTTTGCAATTGCATCGCAAAGAGCTGGACTTTCTTTCCTAGGTACTGAAATTCTTTCTCTTTCCAAAATAACAGTCTTTAAAATTTCCTGCCTTTCTTTTTATTGGACCTGCCATGTATTTTCCCCTTCTCTCTGGTGGTCCAACCAGATGATCAATGTCCTGATGACGCTAACAGACCACAGCACAAATGGTTCTGCGCCTGGCGATCTTTCAGTACAGTTAGCATCGTTCCAGCAGGAGTTTTGAGTGACTGTTTAGACAGCCCTAAGCACGCAGGAGTCCTTGCCACATCCTAACAAAGTGAAAAACGGCCCTGTTGATGAAAATCTTAGTGAAATCAATCTCAAAGTGGTATGTGGGGAATTCTCCAAACTGGTCAAATCCCATTTCAATACATTATTTATTTTAAAATACAACAGAGCTGAAACCTACAAAGTAGTATCAGTGTACAGTCACTTTGAAAACAAAAAAAAAAAACCCAAACCACCCACATAGCATTTCACAGTTTATTTAATATCTGTTTTACACTAGGGATTCTGTTAGGACTATTGTCCTATGTGTTAATATTCAGTATGTAGGTGACCTAAGAAGGCCTTGCTATAGCTCTTAGTCCCATGTTTATCTCACCAATGAGTTTATCTCATGGTATTGTATCTCAAATTGCCATGTGATGTGGTATATGCATAACAACTTATTTATTCTGCATGAAATATAATTAATGGATTTATATCTAGTAATTATGTATGACTGGAATCAGGCACTTCATGCACAATGTGTAATGTTATTAAAAATATCTGAAAATCAAAACAATACCATGTTTTTAATGTGGGTATGTACTAATTCTGATGGTGTCCTGATTACATAAAAGAACTGAAAGTAAATAATTGCAACATTTTTGTTCTTTATTATAAATATATATTTTTAATTTTTTAATTAGATAAGAATTGTTTCTGTCTGCTTCTGTTATACTGGGGTTTTTAGAGGTGTGCCACCTCTAGTTAGGTTGCACTGGCCAAAGAAGTTGCAGTGAATATTATTTATCATCATTAAATGTTTTTGTTGATCTTGCATTGAAAGATTGAAGTGCATGTAGTGCCTTAAGCTTAAGTTAAGCTTACATTTTTACGGTTCTATAAATGCAAGTGAGTTGAAAGTCATGGAGGAGTTCACTATAAAATTTAATTTCATTAGAACAATTAAAGACAAGATGGAAGTTTGGGGTTTTTTTCAGTTTGTTGTGTGCTCTTATTGTCGGTTCATTATGGTAAAAATGGTAAGTAATTGGTTAAAACCAGAACAACACAGGTTTTGAATCAGCGATGTTTCCAGCTTCTTCCTCATCCCATGTTTAGCTTGCTGGGTACTGCTGTTGATCTTACTCTGAGGTTATTCAGTATTTTCATCACTACTGTCTGTGGTGCCATGCTTCCTGCTTCTTTGTCCAGCTTCAAGTTATTAAACTAGTTAAATAAGTACTGTAATTGTCTGTCATTGAATCTATAAAGCTTTGCATCTTGTCAGCCTCAGAGAGAGATTAGTGTTCGGTGAGATAATGTGGTGGGATCTGCAACTAGTTAAAGGCTAAACCTTCTCAAATTTGTTGTGATTTATGTAAATATGTTTCCATATGTTATTACCATAGTGCTTGAGAATAATTGGCAAATAATTAATTTTCTTAATGGGAGTTGTTCAACCAATGGGGACACAGATAATCTTATATCTCCAGACCTCGTGTTACATTTGATGAGATTTTAGAGAAGTCATGTGTAATACTTTCCTGAGGGTTGAGTCTGCTTATGTTACAGTTGTACAAGGTCAGACCTTAATTTATCTAGCAAGTGCATATTTAATTTTAGAAGTATCACAGGACACCTCAGCTTGCAGGGGACTGTTCCTGGCTGTTCAAAATTCAGGCCCCAGAGTAGCACTGGCAAGACAGTGGGTTGAAATGGTGAGACTGTGGTATGCTCCCCAATTAAACTAACAGAGAAATAGTTTAAAAACATAATACTTAAGAGACTGATTACAAATTTAGACTGCTAGTAATTATTTTATTGCTATGAATAACCTCTGTGCATGTCTGAGGGCCTTCTATTTATAGAGTAGAGCTCTGATTGTCTAGTTTATTTTAAGGATAAGAAATTAGAATAACATTAACTCTCAGACAACTTTGTGTATTTGAAAGCAATAAATGCTTGATACACTTCTTTGCAAGGAAAGATGCAAGGTCCATGATTATCAAGTATTTCATATTTTTTCTAAGGAAAAACCAGTAATTTAGAGAGAAAAACATTTTTCTAAGTAAAACATCAAGAAGTAATGTCTAGTTTTTCAGGTATGAATATAAAAAAGATCAGAAAAATATCAGGCTACTCAAAATGCTGTTTAAGGAAAATATTATTTGTAACATAAAAAACTAAAACTCATTTAGAGTAAGAGTTTGCAATTGTTTCCAGTGATCTAGTGTGTGGGTCTGGCAATTGAAAAACTGCCAAGGGTGAATGGAAGAAGATTTTCCTACTGAGCTTTTTAGCCTTTTCATTGCCTCATCACGTAATAGAGCAGCGATGTTTCTGTTGCTGCTCCGTGTATCAGCTGTGCTGTTTTGTTCCCCTGTGCAACATCCATGCTCTGGTCAGACCTTGTCCCCTCAGCACAGTGTATTACCAGCAGTCATATAGCAAATCAGGCTCTCGGAGCGTGTCTAGACCCTTGGCAACATGTCCAGATCTTCTGCTGTGGGGAACTCTTTGCCTTACTCTTACTCTACCCTGTCACAGTTACTTGCTACTAACCAACTTTCTCATTTTACAATATGTGAATTTTCGTGGGATAAGATAATTTGAAAATAGCACACACAGCAATTCTGAAACACTGCTCATCTAAGACCTTTCTGGTTAAGTTCGTGTTTAAGATCTTTATGATGCCTGTGGTGAAATCACTCAGGGGAGTATAGCAAAGCAGCAGAGTCTCTGCATAACCAGAAAAAATTTTCTGTGGTGGCCTCTAAACTGATTTATTCCTCTGATATTTTGGAGAGAAAGGAGTTGTAGAAATGAAATACATTCTAATTAAAATAAAATTATTTTATTACTAAAAATCTATCTTGCTTAGCATTTTTAACACATCCTGGAAACACTTATCATGGGAGTGGATTGATCATCTGACAGGAGTAGACCATATGTGAGCATTGCTAAGAAGTTTTTTTAATACACTAAACTGACTTTTTTTTTCAGAGAGTTTGCAATGTGAGGGTTTGATCTAAGGCCTGTGTAAATCTCCAAACCTTTTTGGTTCAGGCTCTGAGGTAAATATAATATGATGGAATATAATTCTCAACTTCCCTAAATACAGCAACTTCCGTAAGTCTGGCAGGGCATGAAGGTCCATCCATGTGTGTCCAATAGGGATCCACTTGATTCATTAAAAAGAAGTTTTATCAGTGGCATAAAATCTTCAAATGGTTTTCAAAATGAAAGGTGTGAAAAAGGGGAAAGTAACTTCTGTCTTGAAGCAATTGTGGAGGAAATGAGATTATGAATGTTACATATTTTTCCTTAATAGATTATCTTAACATAAATTAACTGTTTCCTTAGGAGCACCTCTTAGCTGCCAACAAGATATTAATGTGCTCTAAAACGTACTTTCCTTTTAGCTGATGGCAGGTTCAGGTTGTAGTTATGTTCATTGATGTATACTTCTGAAACTGCTAGTCCAGGAGAGATTTTATTTTTGCTCTCTAAAAGGTTTGTGAGTTTTCATAACAAGAGTATATTTGTGAGTTAAATGATGGAAGCTTTAAGGTGCCATCAGAATTTGAGAAATGTTAATGAAAATGAGAGGAAAAATACATAAAAGAACCTTGCCTCTGAATCCTTCTGCCTGTCAATGGAGTGTATTGCCCACAAGAGATGAGGGAGAGTGGTACGTGTCCACTTTGTGATGAGCAGTTCATCAGTATAACTTCCATGTTAAATCTTCTTTTGGCCTGTTATGCTGAAGCCTTGACTATGGACACAATAGGAAGGGACAGAGAACCTTCAGAAAAGCTTGTCCTTTATGAACAACATAACAAGGTTTTTCTAAGCCCCAAATGAAAATGTATTTGTGAATATTCTTTTATTATTCTTATACTCCTTTTTTTGTGTTCAGAGATGGCACTCAAGACCCAAGCTGTATATTTTCTCAATCATAAAAAATGGGATTGAAGTAGAGATTTTTAACATCTTCCTTCAGGTTTCTTTCCTTGCAGTTAAAAACCCAGGCCATGATTCCAGTACACATTGAAAGAGGTGAGAAACTGTATTATGTGGGCATCTGAATCCAAGAGACCTTTAGTTTCTGAGTCAATCTAAATGTAAGCCCTTACTAATTTAATTTTGGTTTGCAAGCTTTATCATAATATACTAACTAGTAAGTTAGTAAAGCTTTAGTAAGCTTTATCATAATATACTAACTAGTAAGGTATTTGTGGATGGGATTATAATATTGGCTATGGTACATTGAATGACTTACTGCTTACAAGAGCAATGCAGAAACTAGTCTGAAGAGAAAGCTGTTTAACACTTCCCCTTGAAAATAAGTTTCAGAAGATTTCTTCCAAATAGCAGTTCCAATGTTCCTTCTCTATTTGCAGGATGATCTTTCTGTGACAAACATACAACAGGGACTTAGTATAATTGTGTAATATTTGTGCAACATTTTGAGGATGGTAAGTGTTCAGTGTGGTAGAAAGAGCACACAACTGCACAAACTGTGGGACTGGGGGACTAGTAGTTTAAAAATTTATAAAAAGATTCAACAGGACAAATGTGTTAAGCTGCTTAGATTTGTTCAAACAGAGAAACTATCAAAACCCAAAGCTTATTTGGAAAAAACCCAGGTAGGTACAGCATATATTAACTTAAAGCTTTTTTTTTTCTGTGTGTTTTACAACATATAAAAACTGCATTTTACAGTTCAAATACCTAGAAGACGTTGTAAAGAGCAAAATTCCTGACCTTCCAGTTATAACAAGAATTTACTAGTAAGATGGTTGGTTGATGTGATATCATGAGGAAAAAGCATAGTGAACATAAGCCACAGTTACAGTTGGTGATATGAACAGACTGAATTTAAGTTGATGACTCTAGTTAAAAGGTTTGACATACTCTGTTACTAATCCACTGAGCATTTCAATGACTCTCACACCTTGAAAATAATAGCTGGCATGGCTTCACTATTGCCTGACCTCGTGTACCAAACTCATGTGAATGTCCATTAAACTTCACAACTACAGAAATAGTGTAGAGTCCAAAGTCCTTTATCTTCTTTAATAGATTGTGCTTTGGCACTATAAAGATAAAACAATTACTTGTGAGTGTTTGGGGTTTATTTTGGGGATTTTAATATATTAAGGACCACTAAAAAAGGTAATTAATAATATGAGATGAGACCATTTTATTGTATCGCCTAGTGAGAACAATAGGAAAATTGTAACATCCATGAAGCAAGGTGTCCTGGGATGAAAACAAAACAAACAAACAGAAAACAAAACAAAACAATACCATACCATAAAATAAAACAAAGTAGTCCCTTTGCAAATCTGGGCTTTTTGCATGTTATTTTTTCAACTGCATAATGTTTTTCTGTTCCAAGTTTGTAAGGTCAAGTATCTAGGCTTCAAGAACCTGACATATGCTTTAAAGGAAACTGATCAAAGAGAGTGGTTTCCACTGCCTGAGGTTGCAGTTTGCCAATTCCACAAGTATTTGAAGTCACTTTGAATGGCAGGAAAGGTTAAAATATCCCATAGGATAAGGAGAGCAACAAAGAAACATAGAATAATGAAGACACTAACAGGCTAGAACTGTTAACTAAAAGAAATATGACCAAGTCCTCCATGGACATAAGCGTCTTGCTTATGTTGTTGAAATGTTCCAGCAAATTTTCAATTTTGGAAATGTTGCATCAGTTTATATCAGCAAATAAATGAGACCATTTTTAACATTTTGTTCAGAAGCTTACAAACAAAGCAAAAATTAATATTAAGTATTCAGTGTGTTTGGCAGTACTGGTTAGGTTAACATAATTACAAATACTTTTAATAAAAACTTAAGGATTTCTGATACATGTGTGTGTGTTAACAGCCTTGTGCTTTATTTTGTTTTATTTTTTTTTTAACTTTATAACTTCTAGCATCTTATGAATCAATGTGGCAATAAAAAACATGCAATGGAAAACAGCACTAACTTTGTCAGCAAAAACTGGCTTTGTGGTAAAGGTGCAAATGATCCTGGAAAAGGGTGTTTATCCCAATACCATAAATTACAAGGAAAAATGTATTGGTTATCAATGCAAGAAGCTGCAAAACAGAGATGCAAAGACATTGTTGACATTCTGAAGAATTATGGAGGTGTGAACATTGAGGACAAATATTGAGTAACACCATTAGGGGTTACAGCTGAATGTGGTCACTGTGATGTGCTGGAGCATTTTAATCATAATGATATGTAGTCAGGAAAAGAGAAATTCACCTCTGCACTGACATACATCTTGCCTGAGTGGTGAGTTCTTTCAGGAAAAAAAGAGGAAATTAGCTAGAGGGAAAGGAAGCATACATTACTATTTCTGCTGGACTGGAGTGATGCTTACATGTTTCTTTAATGCATGTGAGAGGAGTGGCAGAGTTGAAAGCAATCCATTTCAGTCAAGGAGAGATTGCTATACGTGTTCTTGCCCTTCTGTGTATCTTTTTACTCCACTCCATCCCTCCTTCACTTGTATCTTTCCTTCCACATACAGAATTATATTGGTATTAATTAATGATGTATGTTTGAAATATGTTGGTTTGAAAGTCCTCAGCTGTAATGCTTACAGTCAAAGCAGAGGCCGCTCAAGTGAGCATTTGAACTTGTATTTGTACACCTCTTATTTTGATTTTCAGTTTTATATTTGCCACAAAAAATATTCCGTGCTTTAGTAAAGTTTTAACTTAAATATATCTGAAAATAGGAGGAAAGTACTCTGGGTTTGTTTTTATAATGATCTGTAAATCACTTTGGATATAAATATAAGTTCTTTATCCTCCTTTGAGATGGAGATGTCAAGAGGCCTTAGCAGATGATCGTGTACCAGTATTGTTTCAAGCAGCTGGAGGACGTAGTCTAGACTGCATAGGTCTGCATTTGAAATATGGAGGAAGTGGCAATGTGCCTGGTGAGGCAAGACTGCTTCCCATACACAAAGTAGCCACTTTGTGGCTACTATGAGGGGCATTACCTGTGAGTATGAGCTTGGAATTCACATTTTCTCTAAGAAACAATGTGGCACAAGGTTACATCAAAGATGTCTATGGTAAACTTCCAAATGTATATTTATGTACATTTCTATTTCAGAAGTACCTGTGTTAGATTAGATTTAATTAACTTTTATTTTTAGCATGAACAAAGCAAAATGCAAAACACACTCCTTAGAATTAAGTGAAAACCACTGAAACAACTTAAACACATTTTATTTGACAGTGCTCAAAACTGATGTTTCTTTGTTTTGATCTTTTGTAAGATGTCTAGGTGGTGACTAAGAACATTGATGGGTGATGGTTATTTTCTTCCTGTAAGGAAGTTACACCTGCCTAGTTTTGTTGACTGTTTTTAGGAAGTATCTCATTGCAACCACATCCCAAACTTTAATCCAGAAAAGTGGGTCAAGCACTGTTAATTCTGCTGTAGACAGCCAGAACCAGTGTCTAGAGCTTGTCACTGAAAAGAGGTTGGATGTCAACACTCTCTTGTCTGAACACATAACTTCAAATACTTATGATGAAAGAAGAGACACTGCACTTTGTTGTGCTGTTTCTAATAATGAGATTCTTTGCACCAAAATATTGCTCAAATCAGGTACAAATCCAAACCAGGATCCTTTAAACTGTGTTCTCGTAGCAGTGAGAGCTGACAGCCATGGAATTTTAAAGCTATTCCTATCTTATGGAGCAGATGTCAACTGCTAATTTTGCTGCTTAATGACACGCATTTCCCCAGTGCATTTGGTATTCTTTGAATGGTGACATGATGCTGAGGCTGTCATGCTCAGTCATGGATATAATGTGGAGATGTGTTTGGATTTTATGTGTCAGGGTATCTTTGGAAATTCTTTTCTGTGGTCAGCTTCAGAGCTCAAGCCTATTCCCAGTTGGACTAGTTCTTCAATAAATAATAAACTAATAAATACATACCTTCCTTGCTTCTCTTCACTTTGCTCTTTTCATTAGCCAGATTTAAACACTCTGGTTTATAGTGTTGAATTAAGGTTAACATACTGTCAAAATCCTTTTTTGAAAACACCATAAAAATAAAATAGCCATTTCTTATTTTCCTCTCTGAAGTAGAGAAAATGATGTACATATCATGGTGATCTGGTTTTATATTTGCATTAATATATTAGAGATTTAGAAAGGAAATTTTAAGAAATCATGAGGAAGGATTATGGAATTTCTGTTCCTTTCCTAACTAGTGGAGTAAATGTATTTCCAAAGAAATATTTCTGCTGAACAAAACAATGCCACAGATTTATTTTTTTTTTTGCCTTCAAGTCTGTTTACATTAATTGAAGGTTCACAAAGTAAAGATGGAAGAAAATGGCTTTTAAAGTAACCTACCTACGTATCAATTTGACTGTTGAAGGCCATTGCTAGGACTTTGTTTAAATTGTCTTCTGTAATTACTTTAAAATGTTCTTTGGCATTTCTCTGCACAGATTTTGAAATTATGGCTTGATATGTTCTCTGTTTCAGTTCTGTGAGTTTATTGCTGTTCTGTGATTGAGATATTTAGCTGGAAAAGTGGCTTGTGTTTTTTGTAGATTACACAGATTATGTGCCTCTAAGTACAAGAATTGAATTTTTCATGGAAACACAGAAAAAATGAACAGAGATACCACAGACTGGACAAATATCTAACTTCCAATTAATTATGTTATGATTTATTATAGGAAATTTTAATTGCTTATGTCAGGTCACATTCATCCAAAGTGTTCTAGCATACCTTGTACATTAAAGATCATGGTTCTATGTAAAATTCTTCAAACATCTAAATTATTATTTTTAGGTATTTTTGCAAACTGTTTGCTCCCTGGTACACCTTTGGTGTGTGCATGTTTCAAAGCTTGGCAAAATTTAAGGGACTTTAGGTGGGCTCTTTTAAACAAAGAGTAGATTTTGATGGACAAACCAGGAAATCAAGTAGCATATCCTCTTGGTTAAGTATTGTTAACTAAAGTTAACTATTGGTTAACTTTCATTTTGGTTCCTACAGAGTTTTGGCAGATCAGTTCTTGAAAAGACTCACCCTCAGTCAAGCTGTCATGCACTGCACAGTACGTTTCTGCACATCTAGAGAAAAAAATCTGACAGAATAAATTTAAAGATATTTAATAAAAAATTTTTTGTGATTACTCCCTTTGTTTTTCTACCATCCCTTCCATCTTGAGGAAAGAAAAAATGCAGACCATCCCATCTAAGAAAAGATTTCAATTGGTGGATATCAGGATTACACAGAGTATAATTCATTTATCTAAACCCACAACTATCAAATGATTGTGTTGGAAGGGATCTCAAAGTTCCTCTAGTTCCACCCCCCCCCTACTATGGGTTGGGACATTTACCATTAGAGCAAGTGTCTCAAAACTGTCTCCAGCTTGGCCTTGAACACTGCCAGGGATGGGCAGCCACAACAATTCAGGGCATCCTGTTATTTCAGAGATATGCTGGTTATCACACACACACATATTCCCACAAACCAAAGCTCAGCTCCAGTATGCTTCTTCCCTGTCCTCTAAACTGACTCTCCATGTTCTTCAGAATTTCTCCTTATTTGCTGAATGTCATTGTTATATAAGACCTAACTTTTGAGTCAGAGATGTAAATCCCACTTCCCAAGGGAACTATATTGGTTTTTTGTGTGTCCTTCTTCATGACAGATTCACTGGAGCAAATGGAAAAAGTGAAAATTACTGGTCTGGGACATGAAGGTTTAACAGAAGGCTTATTTCCTCCTTCTGCTCTCTGTAGGGCTACTATTCATGCAGCTTTCTGAGACATAACTTCTGGAGTTTTTGCCAAAAATTTGACCAGGATGAAAAATAATTTAGTCACTTTTGAAAAATTTCTAGGCATCTGGCATCTGAGCCAGGCCCCTGACAGAAGGATGCTCCAGGTGACTGGTGACTGCAGGCATGGCTTGAGCACAGAGTGCCCAGTGAACCCAACACAGCTGACTGCAAGTCAAGGCTCCACTGGCCAATACCTCTTGGACATAACAGGATAAATGTATGCTTCCTAACCTGTAAACTGGTATTTTTCCTTGTTGAAATTCTTAATCAGAAATATGGGCCTTATCATAATAAATCTTAAATTGTGGTAATTTTAATTAATACAGTGATCACAACACAAGAATCTGGTAATTGCATATCTGATACAGTATACTGAACCAGCAAAGGAAACATGATCAAATAAGGCTTTAGACAGGAGATTTAAAATCCCTTCTGTGGCTAGAGCCAAATTCCATTAGTAATTTTAGTTCACAGGCAAAGGTTTATATTTAGGACCATACAAGCATCAGGCAGTAGTTACATTGCCTGCAGCATCAAAGCATTCAGATGTTGCACTGAGCATTGCCCCAAGTGTTTAAAATATCATGAACTAGTCCTTTGAATATCACTAGGTAAGCTAAAAAGACATGGTACTGGTTGTGCTTATCTTTTAATCAGTACAGCCAGGCTCTTTTTTTGTTTGGTTGCCTGTTATAGGAGATGAAGTTTGCTGATTTAAAGCTTTTCTGTCCTTCACCATGGAAGTTGTTTATTTATTGAAGACTTTTCCCACCCTCGCTTCCTTTCTCTTCCACCCCTCCACCTTTCTCAACACTAAGGCAAGTACAACATTACAAGAAAATATCTTTCATATTTTCAAGGCATCTGTGAACTGAATGGAGGGAGAGGCAAAACTTTATTTTAAATGAAATATGAGGTGAGATAGTCATGGAAAGGGAGATGTTTTCCCTAGGTCAGGTTTGTGGTACAGCTAGGAATTGAACACAGCTCTTTCCACTCCCATGTTTTGCAGCTAGACCATTTCATGCTGCTTCTATGGGCTTGTCTGTGTGGTGGTAGAAGCAGGAAATGTACCTGGGCCAGAGCTAGTGGTTGTGTGAAAAGACACAAAGGCTCCATCCCCAGCTGGAATAATAAATTGGTAGGGAAAAAACCTTTTTGTTTTCCCTACTTGGACTGTGGTTGAACCCTTGCAACACTAGCATTTAATTTTCTTGACTATTTGGGTGTGTCTCACAGGCTGTTCCACCGCAACCCAATTCCATGGCATGCCCACCCCCGGGGGATGTTGTCTACAAGTAATTAAATGCCCTGGCACTGAATCAGGCATGCTGTGGGATAGCGACTCCTATCGATTTGGGGACAATGTTTGAAATCTGGGGTATAATTTGGTTTCTATTTCTCATAAAATCTGACACAAGCAGCTGCATCAGGCTGTGAGTTCTCCAAGGAGGCAGACATTCAACAGTGGTTACATCAGCCTTTAGCCTTTTCAGCACCTGTGGGATGGACTGTGTAGCTGTGAGTGTTTTCAGAGCTCAGTGCAGGAGGGAGAAAACCACAGCCATAAGTCCTGTTTATGATGAGCTATTCCCTGTAGAAGCCATAATGTTGTGTGTGGGTCATCTATGAAGCTCCATGCACTGACTACCATCTAATTTTGGGAGCTGGCACAACAGAGCTTGTTCTGGGTATCAAGGCAGGGGTAAGGCTGAGGTGGGAGGTGTGCAGCAATTTTACTGCAGCAGTCTGTGTTCTGGCATGGGTTCCAAGTGCCTGAGCTGCCCTTTCTCAGACTATTGCCATCAGGACATGAGTCCTGGAAAAACACAGTCACAAAGTCACAGGCTCTTTCGTTTCTGCCTTGGGGTAAGGTAAAGGGATTTTTTGTGAGCCTTACTTGGGGCATAAAAAAGCCCTACTAAAATATCCATGGTTTGGCTATGGTTTGCATGGACATAAATTTGTTTTGACTTATCTCTGTAGAACGGGTCTTATCTCTTTTGTTTTTCCTTCACTTCCAGGGGCTGGAACATAAGTCTTATGAGGATTGGCTGGGGCGCTGGGCTTCTCCTGCAAAGCTACAAAAATACATTAGTGAATGGTTAGTAGTCATAAGAATGATATAACAGTTTAGCTCTGGTGACATGTTCAATGTATGTAATTTTCAAAATTCAAATTTTTAGTAGAAATCTCTACATCTAATTGGGCAAACACATTGCTATTTGTCCACATGTACAGTGCTTGGTAGATATTCCCCAAATTCCTGTTAACATTAATATGGGCTAACAAAAAATAAAACAAAATAAACCCTTGATGTAATTAAATACATTAGAGAATTTACCTGGTTAGTATTGCTGCTGTTATTTCCCTGTGAAGTATATGATTTGTTTATATTGCTGGCATCTCCTTTTAAAAAGAATCTTCATAAATACACACTGTTAAAAAAAGTGACAAAGGAAATGCTAAATATAGTAACTACCTGTTCTGCTCTCTATGTATAAAGAAATAGAGTGATTTTTAAAACTGAATGACAAACTGTAGATTTGGCTAAGTTACATGGGAGAATTGTCTGGAAGTCAGATGAAAGGATGTGAAATCCATGCAGTTTTCTTAACCACTTATAATTTAATAACTACCTGATATGGACACACATATTACAGAGTATTGCAAATACCAGCATAAATAATACATTGGTAAATTTTACCTATTTTATTATGCTTAATTTTTAAAAAAGTGGTAGGCTAACTTCATCCCACTGAAATTATCCTTCCAAACCTCACATTTTTTGTGCATTCAGCAACTCCTCTGTTACTTTCTTTTCAATACAGTGGCCTCTACTTCCTTTCCAAACCTGTTGAGCAATATTGAGATGTAATTCCAAACAGCTGCTGTAGTCACCCTATGTCTGTACATCAGTAACAAGTGAAACGATTTCTATATATAGTTTGTAAATCTGTTGGCAGTGTAAAGCAGACTGAGATTCTTCCTAAGGAGTAAGAGCAGCTATGTGAAAGCAAGAGCATTAAGATCATCCTTGTGTACAAAGCAGTTTATCTTTTTGGTGTGGCAGAAATGAGGAAATGGCCAGTCTGCAGAGATGTGAAGAAGCACTGGCTTTGGGCAAAACCCTGTCAGGAATAGTTTGTGCTGCCAAAGATA